GAAATGAGAGAGGCTAATTGGGCTGGATCTCCCTGCCCTCAGAACGCGTATCTTGTAAATAGGCAAAGCACAGACTAACCTGGTGAAGCACTAGAATGTGGGGCATAAAAGGGCAGATGATCAGCATGTAGAACCTCATGCCTAGGGAACATGTGGGGCAGTGAGAACTGGAAAAGGTGTAATGGTTAGGCAGGGTGTTGGGGTATTTTGATCTGAGATTGAGGGAGAAGTAATCAGCAGATATGAGAAATAAAGGTCTGATGAAAAGAAAGGGTTGGGGGAGGGGCTGGAACAATAGCGCAGGGTTCAAGCACCTGACTTGCATCTCACTGACCTCGTTCCAATGCCCAGCACATATGGTTTGAATCCTGAGCACCCCCAGGGATCATCACTTCTGAGCACAGAGCCAGGAGTCACTCCTAGGCACTGCTGGGTGGGGACCAGACTCCCTCGTCTCCCCACAGTAAACACAAAGGGCTTAAGGTTGGTGTTCAAGAAAGAATATTTGCTCAGCAAGGTGAGTGAGGTTAGGGGGGGGAACCTGGAGGCCCAGATGAGGTGGGTAGAGTGATCTCTGCCGTGAAGAAGATGTCAGCCCAGGCGTGGCATGAGATTAACCAGAAAGTGACCCCCCCACCCTGCTCTCCCACCCCTTTGCCCTAATGCTAATGAATCCATTGGCTGGTTTTCAGTGAGGATGTTCTAGTCCCCTCGCTTGCTGCCTTGGTGGTCACAGCTTGCTTGTACATTCTGTGTCTGAGGCCCAGACCCAGAGAGGTGCAGCATTTATGGGAATGTGGCTTCATCTGAAGCTGGCGGGCCCTGAGGAGCCCAGGACAGCAGGACCTCCCAGAAACAATAAGGTTTCCCTGCAGTGGGTCCCCACCTCCACCCTCCAGGGGCCAGACCACTGAGGATGGTGGAATGAGGCTTCTGAACATCTCTTCCACCTTAAACCTCCCGACTGTTTTCCCCTCAGTCTAACCGGCTGTGTTGGAGTCACACCTCCAAGGAAGACAACCCTTCTGTGATATTATTGTCCCTCCTTCACCTCTACACAATTAAGATTTCTGTTCATGTTGTGGCTGGGACCACAGCTGGTGTTGTTCAGGGCTTACTCCTGACTCCTGGTGGTGCTCTGAGAATCGTATATGTGATTGTCTGGGATCAGTTTTGTGCAAGGCAAGTGCCTTATCCGCTGTACATTCTCTGGCATTCACAATGAAAATCTTTATATGCTCCCCACACTTGTGTTGTTCTGTTTTTTTTTTTATTAAGGGGACTGCAATGGGAAAAAAAGAAAGCATTCTAATTTTCAGCTGTCTTCAAATTTATTTATTAATTTTGGAAAAGTTAAATTCATCTAACCTGATGGAATCTTTATAAAAATTGGAAGCTCATTGTCAACTAAATCTCATTTATTTCATCTAGTATTAGACTGCGTTTTTTTTTTAACCAGATGGAAAACATTAGCAGTAATAGTGAACAAACATATCCAGGCTCCCAGAGGTCATTTTTAACCACCATTAACAATCTGGTTTTCACAGATTAGTAACGTGCAAAAGGCAACAGTCCAGTAAAAGGCACACAAAAGGCAATGAAGCTTTTAGGTACCTTATTTACCTAACATCTAACCATATAGAAAAGAAAAAGAAAAACCTCTGGAAGTGAAACACTTGAATCTTTCAGGCTCAGAATTGGCAGATTTTACCCAAGAGTTGCAGCAAAATACATTTGAAATAGGCACGGTTGTAAAATATTAATAAATCCTCCCCAAAGCTGATGAAAAGAAAAGCTTATTTTAATGTCATCACTAGATTTGCCTGTGGTTAATATCGTTTCCATTTGCTAGCTATTTGTTTAATGGTTTCATACCTATGTAAACCCCCTAACTGTGGGAAAGAAATGCATTTTTCTATATCCTGTTTTAATTTTTTAATTTAACAATCTAATTGAAATGTAATAGAAGAGAAACAATTTACAAAATACACTCATGAATCAAAAAAAGAATCTGATCTAGAAATGTAATAAAAACATGGCTCCTTGAGTAGCCTAATTGGAAGCAAACTCTGGTTTAAATTATGTTTTGAGTGGTGTTCTGAGTCATAATTTGAGTAGTCGGGAGGAAGGATAAACTCTTGCTAGACCTTGGAATAGATGCAGAAGTTGGTTCGTGCTCATCCCTTCTCTTGCTTCCTTAGTATCATGTGTGGCCTCAGTCAACTCTGCAGATGAGAGCAAGCATAGGCAAAGCTCCATGCAATATGCTTTTTTAAAAAAAATTCATTAGAATAAAACCATGGGGTACAGTTGTAGACTTACAAATTTTTGTGCTTGGGTTCACCTCAAGCTACCATTGTTCTTTTCCTTTTGCCTTCTCCTTGTTATCACAATGGTTTAGGGGCAGGTCATACACTCGGCTGCAGTGTGCAGAAGATGGCACGCTTAGATGTGTTGTCTGGGATCACAAATAGCAGTGCCACCCACACCACATTCCTCACTCAGGGAGGATACCAAGGATTGAATACAAGGCTCCTCATGCCTGCAGGGCATATCATTTGTTCCCTGAGTCACAGTGCAAGGCCCAACTTAGTCTTGGTTCGCATATCTATGACTTGCTGTCAATATCCCTATCAGTCTTATTTTTCAATTTTGTTTAACTGAAGTCACTTTCATTTTAATCTACATTTAGTTGTGTGTCATTATAAATCAGCACCTCCACATACTACATGAAGTTTACCACTTGAGGTCCAATTCCCTCCTGCATCGTTTATTGGATGTGTGCATCATCTACCCCAATGCCTTCTGGCACGTTGCTCTTCTTTTACATACTGGTATTTTATCGGTATTCTAATGAGATCCTTATTTGAACTGTATCACAGATATGCCTTCATTGTTTATTATTCTATGGAGAAGAAATCAAGGTATTAAACGTCAAGAGCACATAGTGAGATGAGACTGGGCCCAGGATGAGAGAGGGAATGAGGCTTTACAAATATAAGTTAAAGAGTGAAGCAAAGCGCCGCCCCCCAAAAAATTGCAAAAGGACTTTAGGGATGCACATGCACATGTCTGTCCTACTGTGGAAATATGTGTGCTTCCTCTCACTATGCACATGTTCAGGAATACTTGGAGATATGTCTGTTTGCATATGCAAAACACACAATTACATGCCTACCTGCACACACATGCTTGCTCAGGTAGAACACAGAATGCAGAATCACCCTTTTCAACCTTACGTTGAAGGCTTTCCTGTCTGTCCTTGATACCTCTGCTCTTGGGAGAAATTTTTTCCCTTTCTACAGAAATTTTACCTTGATAGTGAAGTCTCTCAATATTTCTGCAAGTGCCTGGAGCCATTCTATTCAATTCCTTGCTGGGGATGGGAAAGGAGTGTGGCGGGTCAAAGAGATGGCTCAGAGAGCTGGAGCACATGCCTTGCGTCTGGACGTCCTCACTTCACTCCTTAGCACTTGCCTGGTTTCCCACTCCTCCATCCTCCACAAGCACTATGCGAACATTGACCCATCAAGCTTGCAAGTCAGATGGAACGTTGCCAGGAATGGCTCCTGAGCACTTCTCAGTACCTCCCCAAAAATTGAGGAGAAAATTTAAATAACACATTTTGTCTTCTCTACTATAATTTAGAATTTAGGAACTCATGAAGTCTTTTTTTCAGTGGCAGCTGGAAACCTTACGGAAAGCCTCTTAAGAGTTGTGCATTATGCCAGGCACCAGCCTTGCAGGACAGATGTAGCACCTGATGGGTGTGGAACGTGAGTGAAGAAAGGGCATAGGGATGCAGGAAGGGAATGTTAGCCTCCAGGTGGGGAAGCCAAGACACCTCAGGGACCTTTGTACTCACATGCTTCTTTAGGTAAAAAAAAAAGTGGGCAGTTTAAACTATGTGGAGAGTTGTGGACATTTGATTGAAACTTTAATACAGAATTTAGATTAGCCAAATAATTGAATTTCTTTCATCTTTTTCCTCTTTCCTAGACTACATAGATTCCATTTATGACCAAAGAGAAATACATTCTTTTAGACTGTAACCATTCCAGTTAGCAGAACAATTGGGTCTTCATCCATAATGTAGCTTTTATTGGTCAAAGATAGTAGTTAAGAAACAATTCTTTAGTTTGTGGCTTCTACAAAATAACTTAGTTCACATCTCTGTCTTAGATTGAATTTTTTGTTTGTTTTGGGGCCATACCTGAAAGTGCTCAGGAATCATTCCTGACTCTGTGATCAGGGAATATTACCGGTGGGGCTCAAGGGACTATACTGGGATTGTCAGGGATTGAAACTGAGTAGGCCACATGGAAGGCAGTCACCCTACTAGCTCTCCTGTCCACATTTCTTTAAATTTTCTAATTTATTTATCTTTTGTTTTGGGGTCACGCCTGAAGTACTCAGGGACTAGCCTTGCTGCATTGCTGGAACTCGCTCCTTGCCCTACTCAGGGGACTGTGGAGTGCCTGGGATCAAACCTCACCTCCTACATGCAGAACATGTACTCTGGCCCCAGGTCGATTACGAGGAAGTCACTCTGGTTTATTCATTATCCGTGAACCTCCTCCCACTCCTTGCTGTTGCATCCCAAGGAAGCAGGAGGCTGCTGCTTCGAGGGTTGTGAGGACCTTCTAGGAACCCCAAGCTTCTTCACTTGTAGCTGAAGAGGGACTGTGGTTCAGTTTCTAACAGACATGTTGATTATTCCACCGCCTCTTGGCTCACTCCAAGCAATTCCTTGGGTTGCAGATGACGAGAATCCTAGGAGGGGACTAAGCGTGCAGCTTCCTTCCTCAGGCCAAGGAGTTGGTGCTCTGATTTTCTGTTGCTCCCAGGAGATTACAGATATCCAGGAGGACAGCATTTGGTTCTGAGGCCATCTGCTCTCAAGTTGTGTTAAATAAGCACCGGTAGTTACTAAAAGGAAAGGAAAAATTTTGAAAAAATAGCCTGTTCATGACTAACTAAAATTGTCTCCTTTTTCAAAGGTGAACACACACAAGAAACGAACTCACCTCATTCACTCAAAAAGGATGTAGAAAATATGGGGAAAGGTAAAGAAAAGTTTTAATTCTATAGAACTTCTTTTTAGCTGTAAAAGACTCCAGAGATAATAGGAGGATATTTTTGTTCTACTCCATATTTTTAAGCTTGACAAGCAACATATGAATAATATATGGACCATTGGGTGGATATAATTGAGATTAATGCATACATATCAATCAATACATGACACTGTAATATAATACTTTAAAATAATATATTACATTGATTTATATTCATGGATTTCTGCACAAAATCTATCCTATGTCTATGCAACACTTTTTAAACTGGTAAAATATTTTGTCTTATAATAATAAATTGCCATATATAACAGTCCTCTAGAGAGTTATTTATAAAGATTAGTAAAATGACTCTTCTTTTTTCTTTATTAGAAGAACTTCAGAAGGTTTTATTTGAACAAATAGATTTACGGAGACGACTAGAACAAGAATTCCAAGTGCTGAAAGGAAATACATCTTTCCCAGTATTTAGTAAGAAATCACTTTTATTTCATTGTATCGATAATATTTGATGACACTTCTGTTGTGAGGCTTACGCTATGCTGCTAAGTATTAAGTGGTTGAGTAAAGTGCACATGGTCTTTTATATTCTCCATTTAAAAATTCAAAAGTGATAATCTGTTATTTATGCTTTGAATCAACACATGGATAAAAATTTTTATAAGAATCTTTTAATATTTGTTGTATTGGTAGTCCATTCATTTATCACATACATTTAAAAAAGATATGTAATTTTATTATTTCCTATGTAGATATATTTGCATATTTGAGATATTTAGATTATATTATTATACTTTTCCCCAAAATAATTACTTGGTATTTTAATTTTTTAAGTTAGGAAAAAGAACCAAAAAAAGCTATCTTGTATTCTCAGATAATACTAGAGAGCTGCCTAGGGCTGGATATATGTTATGTAAATCTGAGAGTTTTAAATGATAATTCAGTGCGAAGAAGCATATTTGATTCACTGATATTAGTCTAATTATAAGAGGTTTAAAATTTAAAATTTCATTCCAGTCTTGGTAGCAGAGGTTATAGCATAAAAACCATTGTGTCTGTTCCCAAAGTTCTGAAATTACAGAAAGATTTTATCCTCGGTGTCTAAAGGTAAGGTAAAGGTAAAGGCCCTCCCGTTGATCGTCGATTTGCTCAAGCGGGCCCAGTAACGTCTCCATTGGAGACTTTGTTGTTACTGTGTTTGGCATATCGAATACTCTCGGTAGCTTGCCGGGCTCTCTGAGAGGGGCGGAGGAATCGAACTCGGGTCGGCCATGTTGGCCGCTTGTAAGGCGAACGCCCTACCACTGTGCTATTGCTCCATCCTCAGTGTCTAGAGTTTTAAATTCATAGCTGGTCTGGGTTCCAGTGGACAAATACATTATGGTTGAGATTTTCAAGGCTTTTTGTAGTTTCATTTAGTCCCAACACCTTCTCCAAAGAAAGAAAAATGGAAAAGAAAATTCCATGTAAAGTTATATTTAGTATTAGATTTCATATCAATTTAGGGGACTGTATTTTCGTATGTTAGTTTGCCTGGTTATCAATCCAGACATAATCTAGCTTGTGCTGGTTTCCTGTGTGACAGCCACAGGTAAGCATCTCAAAGGTGCTCCTGTATATTGGTTGGTTTGTTTTCTGGTGGGGTAGGTATTTTGGGCCACACCAGCAGTACTCAGGGTTTATTCCTCCTTTATGCTCAGGTATCAATCCTGGTGGGACTCAGGGGACCATATGTGCTGTCTGAATGGAACCTGGGTCAGCCACATGCCAAGCAAGCATCCTACCAGCTGAACTATTGCTCTGGCCCGTTTCTGTGTTTGTGACAATTGTAATCACTGAGCCTGAAGATCTGCATTCACTAGGGCGTCTCGGGTGCCATCAGCACAAGGGGAGAGTATGCTCTCTTTGGTAGCATTTGTGAATAGTACCAGACTCCCTGTAACATATCAAGCTGAGTTCCACAGAATGCTGAGCTGGGTAACAGTGATGAAAGTAGAAATGGGGGTCAGACAGGCTGTGATCTCTCTGTCTCCATGTAACTTCAGAGTGTTGGATTCAGATAATGTCTGTTGAGACTTAGAATAAAATTCAAGGGAGATCTTATGAAGGAGAATGGTCAGTTGCCTTTTAAAGTCTACTGACACCATCATGGCATTTGTAGCTATAGAAAAAGAGAAATGTTAAAAATGTAACTGAAATCTCAAAACCCCAGGTACTTGCAGAGGATCTAGAATTCCTTAACCTTACAGATGTAACTGAAGAAAGACTATAGGGTTCTTTTCAGCAGTGGCAGACTTTGAATGATTAGTGTCTCCTTAAGCTGCATTTATCTAATGTCGGATTTGTAAATTCCGGGTTATTCAATCCTGCCGAGAATCAGAGGCCTGTTGAATCTCTAAAGTGCCCACCTAACTCCCTGGGAAGCCATTGTAGCCATAATTGATTCATTTATAAATATCAGTTAATCTTAAGGAATTAAGTCATTTATGGATTTTCCTTATTAGCTAATATGATGAACTACACAAGATGAATATTTCTGTTTTTAAAAAGTTAATATTATCTACAACTAGTCAGTTTTGATTCAAACCTATGGCTCCTCCTTTCAATCTGTTCCTCTGTGGGTGTCACATATGTGAAACATTTTGATTAAACAGCAAAATATTTCCTTTTTTTAAAAAAATTCTATATCTTATTCTTTTAACCAAAGAAGTGCATGCCTGTGACTCAGTTGGATTAATGATGGTTTAGTTATACCTCAAAGAGGAAGTTTATTTTAGACTGATGAAAATACCAAATGCACATTCAGTGCTTGAATGTGAGCAACTACGAGGCTGGCAGACAGATTCAGATCAGCTCAGGTGGAAAGGAGGAAATGAAACTTTTAAAATATACATCAGAAGGCATTCTAGACGAATCCCCATTAGAGTATTGCAAGGCTTGCTACTAAGAATTGGACAGACTTTCCCAGTTATTACACCTAAATTGGTTCACTTAGAACACCAGAACTTGGGCTAAGCTGTAGCATGTGACAGACATTTGGGAACCAGGGCTTTAAAAACCCAAGCACAAAAATTTATAAGTCTACAACTGTACCTCATGATGTCTCACTAATAAAAATTTTTTTAAAATAATAAATAAATATAAATAAAATAATAAATAAAAAACCAATGAACAAAATATATAAGAAAACATGAACTAGAAACGGAGAGATAGTATAGCAAGTAGATCAAATGACCTTGGTTTGATCTCCAGCATCCTTTATGGTCCTCTGAGCACTGACAGGAATAATCCCTGAATGTAGAGCCTAGAATAAACCCTAAGCACTGCTGGATGTGGCCCCCAAATTAAAACTAAACCGAAGCATCAAATAGTGCAATGTGTGGTATATAAGGAAACATCATAAGGGAATGACAACCTTAGATCTGACTTACAGTACAGAACTGAGCTTACCATGGTGGAAAGATGGGGAAGTGGTGTAAGGAGGGCCCCTGAGACATGGCGGAGGGAAATGGACACGGTGGAGGGAGTGTGGGTTGGGTATGCATTAAACTCTATCAGGAACAGAGTGGCAAATCACATTGACTAAAATAAAATTTTAAACAACGAAACTGACCAGAATTGGGGCTGGAGCAATAGCACAGCAAGTGAGGTGTTTGCCTTGCACGCAGCCAATCCCAGCACCCCATATGGTCCCCTGAGCACCGCCAGGAGTAATTCCTGAGTGCAGAACCAGGAGTAACCCCTGAACATCGCTGGGTGTGACTCAAAAAGAAAAAAAAAATTGACCAGAGTTAAGTTCACTTTGGAACCCTGCTACGTCCTGGTGGGGGACTTTGGAAACCACAGTGGGCCAGAGGATCATCCCTGTCTCTTGGGAAGATGAGAGGCCCAGGGAAATGCTGGAATAAAATCCACGGGAGATCTTATGAAAGAGAATTCCCAGCACAGAGCACTGAGCACAGGGAAAGTGTTGAATGTGATCAGCTGCCATGATGGAAGTGATGGGGAAGCACGTGGGAGAGGATGGTTAGTTTTCCAGAAAGGCGTTACTAAAGTGAGTCAGATTTCTCACCTTCTTGTGGTTCTGAGATCACTGACAGTCACAGACATGAATCCTTACCTGGAAAAGGTTAGGATAAAGATTATAGGAAAGAGGAGGAGCAAGTCATGAAAGAGGAGGAAGAGATGAAAGGGGGGAGATCTGAGAGGTCTGGGGATATAATACAGGGATGTGTCCAGGAGAAGGTGAGCAGAAGAGGGTAAGAAGAGGGAAAAGAAGGCAAACAGGAGGAGGGAGGAAAGAAGAGCAAGAATAGGAAGTGGGGGGGCTGAAGTGATAGTACAACAGGAAAGGCACTTGTCTTGCATATGGGTGACCCTGATTTGATCTCCAGCACCCCATCTGGTCTCCTGAGCATTTTACTGAGTGATCCTTCAGCAAAGAGCCAGGAGAACGTCTTGAGCACCACCGGTATGCTCCCCCCTCCAAGAAAATATGGGGTTAAAAAGATTTTAAAGAGGAAGAAGTAAGGAGGAGGAAGCAAGGCTCCATACCTAGAGGCAGACTTTAGAAAGAGTAAGAATAACAAATATTCCAGAACTACTCTCCTTAAATAATTCTGCATGACCCAGAGGGGATGGTAGAGAGAGGGGGTAAGGGAGCCCTTTCCTTTGGGGTGGAGGCAGAGCGGCATGGTGGGTGGTGGTGCCAGCTGAGGGTTCCCTAGTACTAAATGCCGACTCCCCCACTGAGTAACCTCAGACAAGTTACCTAACCTCCTTGTCAACTGTAAAACAATACTATTGCCCACCTCATGCCTTGTTGGGAGGATTAAATGAGTGAAATGTAATAAAGTGTCTCGCATAGTGACTGATCTATAGTAATGTGAGTGGCTGATACTAGCACCATTTTAAAGTTTGATACCTTGCTGCAGGGACTTTATAGTGAGCTGCTCCCAGTCAACCAGAATGTCCAGAGATTTGTTGGGCTGTCTTTCTGGAAGCAAGGACAAGTCTCATCAGCCTGGGAAAGCAGGATATGAGAAGGGTAGGAAGGGCATCCCATGAAAGTGGGTGAAATGTAGCCTAGACCTGAGAGGGGAAGGTGTTTTGGGAAATAGAAGGAGGCATCTCACCCTTATCAAAGTCTCAAGATGATATGGCACAGTGGGTCAAATGTCCTGCGTTGATCCTCACGTTTAGTGGGTCCAGGGTGACTAATACTGATGAGAGACTCTGACCCCAACATTTCATGTTTCCAGACTTTTCCACTAAGGGCTTCTCTGAGCGCCTTTGCATCTGTGAATCCTGACATTATTATTACCCAATATTGTGGCTCTTTTCTCTAATAAATATCTCTTTTGTTCCTTCCCTCACCATTCTATACTTTCCTTTATTAAGACATCCAAATAAACCATGTGATTTTTCATTCATTCATTCTGCTCTTTCCAGTAGCCATCAGTATAATCTCA